TTAATTTGTAAATGATTTTATGTGTCTTTTGTATGTAATATTAATAATTGTTATATAAGATGAATTTTTTTCAAAATTATTTATATCTTGTGTACATTTGTAAAAGAATAAGAAATGTAAAGTTAAGTTTATCAAACCGACTGGTTTGTTGGTTGGTTGTTGGTTTGTTGGTTGGTTTCTTGTTTCTTTGGTTTCTTGTTGGTAGGTTTTTGGTTTGTTGGTTTGTTGGTCGGTTGGTTGGTTGGTTGGTTGTTTTGTTGGTTGGTTTGTTGTTTGTTTGTTGTTTTTTTGGTTTGTTGGATTGGTGGTTTGTTGTTGGTTGGTTGGTCCGTTGCTTGGTTTGTTTTTTGGTTCGTTGGGTGGTTTGTTGGTTGGTTGGTTGGTTTCTTGGTTGGTTGGTTTCTTGGTTGGTTTGTTGGATGTATTTTGTATATTATGTTATATGAGATTATTGTTTAACTACATTGTGTATATCTTTTGTAAATTATTTTGTTTCTTTTGTATATTATGTTATATTAGATGTATTTTGTTTTCTAACATTGTGTATATCTTTTGTAAATAATTTTATGTGTCTTTTGTATGTAATATTAATGATTGTAATATGATTGCATTTTTTTTTAATTATTTATATCTATTGTACATTTGTAAAAGAATGAGAAATGTAAAGTTTAGTTTATCACATCGACTGGTTTGTTTGTTGGTTGGTCCGTTGCTTGGATTGTTTTTTGGTTTGTTAGGTAGTTGGTTTGTTTGTTTGTTGGTTTGTTGGCTTGTTTGTTTGTTTGTTGGTTGGTTGGTTGTTGGTTGGTTTCTTGGATTGTTGGCTGGTTGGTTGGTTGGTTGGTTTGTGGGTTGGTTGGTTTCTTGGGTTTGTTGCTGGTTGGTTTGTTGGTTTGTTGGTTGGTTGGTTTGTTGTTGGTTGGTTTCTTGGGTTGTTGGCTGGTTGGTTTGTTGGTTTGTAGGTTGGTTGGTTGGTTGGTTTGTTGTTGGTTGGTTTCTTGGGTTGTTGGCTGGTTGGTTTGTTGGTTTGTAGGTTGGTTTGTTGGTTTGTTGGTTGGTTGGTTGGTTGGTTGGTTGGTTTGTTGTTGGTTGGTTTCTTGGTTGGTTGGCTGGTTGGTTTGTTGGTTTGTTGGTTGGTTGGTTGGTTGGTTGGTTGGTTGGTTGGTTGGTTGGCTGGTTGGTTTGTTGTTGGTTGGTTTCTTGGTTGGTTGGCCGGTTGGTTGTTGGTTGGTTTCTTGGTTTTTTTGGTT